TGGGGGGTGTGGGGGGGGGGGGGGGGGGCGGGGGGGGGGGGGGGGGGATTAATTGGACAAAGGTTGAGAAGGGACAGCAGTAAACAAAAGGAGCAAACAGAAGTTGTAGACCTTGGCAGCATCCAAGGTGGCCATTCAGCCCACCTGCTGTGTTCCAGCTCTTTGACACAGCAATCTAATTTGTCCCACTCCCTGCTCTTTCCTTCTCGTCTTTTTCCATTTTCTCTCCCTCAAAAATTCAATGATTTGCTATTGATAATTACAATGAATGCACCTCCATCACCCTTTAAGTCAACGCATTTCAGATCACAATAGCTGCATAAAATTTATTTTCCTCTGGCTGTGAAGCCAATTCCCTTCAAAGAGAGTTGTGCTGTTTTCCAAAGGTTTCTCCCACTGGAAACAGTAATCTCCTTAATCACTCTATGAAAACTCTTCATGACAATGAACATCTCCATCAAGTCTCCATTTAATGGACAAAAACATCAGAAATACAGAATGGTTTCAGTAAAGAAAGAGGCCACTCAGTCTATCGTGTCTGCCTCAGCTCATTGGAGGAGCTATTTATCTAGTTTCACTCCCCTGCCTTCTCCACTTCGCCCTGCACAGTTAACAAATCCCAAATTTTCTCCTAACTGCCTCAGGAACCTAGCTCCATCACATGGGTAGGCAGCCCCTATCAGATCTTCACCATCTGATGCTCAAAAAGCATCTCCTCATATAACCATCACTTTTCCTGCAAGTTACCTTGAATATGTGCTCTCTTGATCCTATTCTTTTCATCAATGGGAAATGTTTTTCCTGTCTGCTTTGACCAGACCCTCATGATGTGCAAGTATATTTTTTTAATCAAATTTCCTCTTGACTTTGCAAAGAAAATAGTTCCAATTCCTTCAATCTGGTTGAAAGGGAAGGGTGTTTGGGGTGTTTCCTCATAGTAGCTATGAAAGATATCTTGGGACAGGAGGCGGTCATTCAGAACCTCAAGCCATTTCCACCATTGTACTGTCTGATCAAACCCGGGGAGGTGGCGGCGGGGAGGTGGCGGCGGGGAGGTGGCGGCGGGGGGTTGGCGGGGGGGTGGTGGTGGTGGTGGTGGTTGGTGGGGAAGGTGGGTAGAGAGTAGGAATATGCTACCATTGAGTGGCAGGAGGTGGAAATTTTTTTTTCTTTATTCATTAACAGGATGAGGACGTCACTGGCTAGGGCATCATTTATTCCCCATCCCTAATTGCCCAGAGGATAATTAAAAGTCAGCCACATTGCTGTGGGTCTGGAGTCACATGTAGGCCAGACCAGGTAAGGGGTGGCAGTTTCCTTCCCTAAAGGACATTAATGAACCAGATGGGTTTTTCCCGACAATTGACAGCGGATTCATGGTCATCATTAGACTCTTAATTCCAGATATTTATTGAATTCAAATTCCACCATCTACCATTTCGGGATTTTGAACCCGGATCGCCAGAACATTATCTAGCGATAACACCACTAGGCCATCGCCTCCCCTAGATGTTGCAGCATTAACAGACAGGAGGGTACCAGCTCGACTAGGAGTGGAGTGTAACTGTTTAATAGGGTTGGAAGGGGACAGAAATTTCTATTTGAATTGAAGGAGGAGATGTGACTTTGAGAGAAGTAGAAAGGATGGAGACAGAGGTGAGAGGGGAGTTAGGCAGGCTGCATTATTGCTACAGTCTCAGACTATAGAGGGCTATATATGTGCAAGCGAATGATGGCCTGGCTGATTCAGTGAATCTCAAACATTGCTTTGCTTTTGAACTTGTTTCTTAAAAACAAAAGAAGTGTTAAAAAATGAATACTTATTAATTTATTTATTTTAAAGCAAAAGGCCGTTGTTTCTGGGTAGCTTCCCAACCCTGCCCTTCTTTCCCAGATTTACATCATATACATTGTGCCTTTCAAAGTGTAACTTCCCTCATCCTTTCAACAACTGATGTTTCATCCAACACAAATGGTTACCAGTGAAGATATCAAGCCTGTTAAATAATTGACTTTACACACTTGGTTCAAGAATATACTTGATATCAACTCAATCAAAATTATCTACTTCTGGAATCTACTTTAGATATTCATTTTTGCTGCTTGCAGCACACATTTCCTTTGTAATGCTTAGCAGGTCTGACCCAGCATGTTTGACACAACCACCAAAGCTCCTCAACTGCTTGAAATCTAGCTTTCCCTCACACCAGTCATAGTTAGTCTTATCAACTGCACACTTCATAAATACAGTTTACAGGAGGCTTTTGCCAAGAACAATGGGTGGGGAAGGTGACTAATGTGCTTCTGGCACCCACTGTCTAAACACTTTAAATGGCACAATTCTGCAAAGCAATTTATCTCTTGGGGGAGCCAACTATTTGGCTAAATATACTTTGCACCTAATTGTAAAGCTGCTTTTCAATGTTTTTGTTGTAGAATGGCTGTCACACTAAACGTTATCGCTCAAAATAACTCCAAGTGTGAGGCAGTGTGGCATTCTGACACGATGAGGTATGATTAAAAATATAAGTATAATCTCACTTTTACCTTTGGTGGAAATAATTGGGAGGCAAAATAGGGTTGTGCAGTTCCCACGTCATCACAAAATCTCTCAGCAAGGAACATGGACAGGACAGGTGGCTAATGTGGTTGTGGCACACATCACTCTGCTTTTTAAGAAAGGTGAAAGAGGAAAACAAGGGATTTATAGACCAATTAGCTGAACATTTTTGGTGGAGGCATAGTTGGAAAGTCCATAATCAAGGATGGGGTAATTGAACCTTTTTCAGTTAATCAGGGAGAACCAGCATGGATTCATGATGAGGCTGTCATGCCTGACTAACCTCGCTGAATTTTTTTAAAGGGGTGGCTAAGGCAGTGGACAGGGAATGTCTATGGATCAAAAACAGAAGTTGCTGGAAAAGCTCAGCAGGTCTGGCAGCATCCATGGAAAGAAATCGGAGCTAACGTTTTGGGTCAAGTGACCCTTTCTCAAAATGTCTACGGTTGGTGTTTATACAGACTTCCAGAAGGCATGTGATAAAGTCCCACACAAGAGACTGTTACTGACATAGCTGTGAAATTGGTTGCATGGCTGGGTGACAGAAAGTAGGGATCATGGGTAGGTAATTACATGGGTGGGATGTGATCAGTGGAGTCCCACTTGGATCTGTGTTAGGGCCTCAATCATTCATGTTATTTATTAATGACTTGGTTAATGGCATAGAAATTCATAACTTCAAACTTGCTGATGACACAAAGTTAGACAGTGTGGATGATAGCATAAAATGTCAAAAGGATATTGACAGACTAAGTGAAAGGGTAAAACTGTGGCAGATGGTATGAAGTTTTCCATTTGGACTGAAAAAGGATAGATCAGGGCACTTTCTAGATGGTTTGAAGTTAAATACAGTGGATGTCCGAAGAGACTTGGGTATTCAGGTGTATCAATCTTGAAAATGTCACTATTTAGTGCAGAAAATAATCGAAAATAATGGAGCACTGGCCTTTATATCTAGAGGACTGGAGTACAAGGATATGGAAGTTATGCTGCAGTTATACAAAACGCTGGCTAGCCCCCACTTGGAGCACTGACAGTAGATCTGGGCATCACACCTGAGGAAGGACATATTGGCCTTGGAGGGAGTATAACCATAGGTTTGCAAGAATGATGACCTAATCCTGAAGTCCAGATAATGAGGAGAGATATTCTCTCGAATTTAGAAGATTAAAGGGTTGAAGTCTTCAAGATATTAACAGGAAAAGGCAGAGGAGACAAATGTAAACTATTTGGACTAGTTGGGGATTCTAGAACTAGGGGGCATAGTCTGAGAATTAGGGCAAAACCATTCAGGAGAGATATTAAGAAGCACTTCTACACATAAAGGGTGGTGGATATTTAGAGCTCTCTTCCACAAATAGTAGTGGATGCCAGATCAGTTGTTAATTTTAAATCTGAGACAGATAATACCTTTGCCAAACAAAAAGTTAAGGAATAGGACCCAATTGAGGAAGGGTCAGCAGACCCGAAATATTAACGCTGAATTTTCTTCACAGATGCTGCCAGACCTGCTGAGCTTTTCCAGCAACTTTTGTTTTTGTTCCTGATTTACAGCATCTGTAGTTCTTTCGATTTATCTTATAACTTCGACGTTTATCTACAACATCAGGATTGCTTCTCCTATTTGCAATAGAGTGTGTATAATTATGCTGACCACTGCTCAACCATCTTTGGAAACTGCCTGGGTTTCATTTAAAGCGTCCATTAGCGACAAGCAGGAGTCAAATTGGCAAAACATGTTTTGGTAATTTGGCTTTGATTTGCCACGAAAATATGGTTCTATTTTCACAGACAAACTTGGAAAGGTAACATTAGAGGAACTGTTTAGAGACCAGCACGGTGGTTCAGTGGTTAGCACTGCAGTCTCACTGCACCAGGGACCCAGGTTCAATTCCAACCTCGGGCAACTGTCTGTGTGGGTTTTCTCTGGGTGCTCCCACAGTTTAAAGGTGTGCAAGTTAGGTGGATTGGCCATAGAAAATGCAGGGTTACTGGGTTGACCTGAGTGGGATGCTCTTTGGAAGTTCGGTGTGGACTTGATGGGCCGAACTTCCTGCTTCCACACTGAAGGGATTTTATGACTCTGCCCTGAGGGTGACCACTAATACTAGTTTTTGAGCAATAAAAAGCTTCATTGTCACTCAAGAATATTCCCAGTCTCATGGTAATCAACAGCTGAAATTGGGACTAGCCTAAATTAATAGATATTCCTATCTCTTACTGAGGTGCAAGGTTGGTGACATGATTTGTCAGCATAAACATGGGGTGTATCCTTGCTTGGGCTGTATGCTTTGCTTAGGGTGTATCCTCTCTTGGGTCCTGCGTAGTCATGTAATTTTGCAGAAGATGGCAGAAAGCCCAGCTCCAACAGATCTCTGCATGCCTTGGCTCCCACTGGATAAATACAGAGCTCAGGGACAGGAATCATGGGACTTATAATCACTGATGGGAATCAAAGCTACAGTCGGGAAAAGCAGCCGCCGTAAGCCTACGACGTAGCGGTGGACCAACGTCTGATGGGAATCTTCCAGTTGGAATTAGAAGAAACAGATGCAGAATGTAGTATTTAAAACCCAGCAAACTGGAAAGACTTTCATCTCATCAGGTTAAGTTGGGCTCAAATGAAAATCCGACAATCTTTGTCCTCTATTCTTTAGTGTTCATCATGGGATTAAACGTTTTTCAAAATGGAATGTTTTTAATTTCAATTTCTTTCCCTTCAATTCAGGGACCAATTCTCCTTGGCAACTAATTTCACCAGACTTAACCCTACCAAACCAGTGCATGTAGTTTCTGATGCAGTTTATTTTAAAGCTACGTTGTGGACAAGACTAAGCCTGCCTGATCTGAAGTCAATTGACTTTTAGCTAGATAAATTAAGTGGTAGGATGCCAATAAACCTGATGGGTGGGTCTGGTGAAGAGAAAAGATGCCGTCATCTTGCAAGAGATGCTTCAGGTGGACTTTTGGGGAGAACGGGACCTAACAATATGCTGAGTCATTCAATCACAACTGCACGCAGAACTTACACGCTCCTCCTCAAAGCTGATAAGCCCTTCGTCGTCACTCTCCAATTCTTCAGGCTCTTCAACAGTTAGAGCCTGCAGTTCTGTTGTGGCGCCCCTTGGTCGCAGCAGGCTGAGGATGCGCTTGATAGGTGATTGCACACTCCCAGTGCTAACTGTCTCCTGCTGCTCCAGGTTGTCGCTCTGCTTCTTTGCAAAGTTTACAAACACCTATAACAATTGACAAAGTGGGAGAATGCCTCAACAACAACAGCCTTTACAAAGTGCCTTTGACAGAGGCGCATCACTGGAAGAAACTGAAAGACCAAGATAAGGACATTTAGGACAGGTCACCAATATTTATCCAGAGAGTTATGTTTTAAGGAGAATCTTTCATGGAGGAGAGGTTCATGGAGGGCATTCTAGAACTATGTAATCGAATGTATGATTGAACATCAAACCAGATCACCTGTGAGTGTTTCAGTCACATACTGCTGGCCTCTTGGTTGAAGGGTTCAGAGAATTTTCCAAATGAACAATAACTAGAAGTAGTTCAAGGAAAACTGTCTAGGAGTACATTTGCTGTTGTGTTTTGGGATTTAAGACTGAAGCACAGTCTGGTGTTCTGACTGGACATCTTGTCTCACTGCTGGCTTGTAATATCCTCCACGAAATGAGATTGGGTGTCAGCGCGTAGGACAAAACTAATCATAATTTTTCTACATCATTTTGAGGACGAGCATGGGATGTTTGGTGCTGCAAACGGAGTATGAAGAATGGCGTGCTCATTCGGGAAGTTTGTGGCATCTTGCCATGGAAGTGGTTGATATGAGCAATGGATATCTGCCATCTTGAGCTCAGGTGAAAAGTCAATGGTAGAAATGCAACATTTCCTTTTAGTTTTGTTTTTTTTTAAACTCAGATTTCACAGGGCTCAAGCTTAGAGCAAATCCTCACTCTTGCCAAGAGCGGCAATCCCATGTACAAAAAAGTACAGAATGACAAGGCAAATGTTAGGCTTTCCAATTTCCTAGTAGAGGCTTTGTCCTGGGCACAATTTTCTTTTAACACTGATGTGTGAGCAGGATGTTGCGAACACATCGGATAGTTGGTCATTTAAAATCCAGCAAACTGGAAAGATTTTCATCTCATCAGTTTAAGCTGGACTCAAATGAAAATCCGAGAATCTTTGTCCTCTACTCTTTAGCATTCATCATGGGATTTAAATGTTCTTCAAAATGGAATGTTTTTAATTTCAGTTTCTTTCCCTTCAATTCAGGGATCAACTCTCGCTGGCAACTAATTTCACCTCAAACTTCACCAGACTTAACCCCACCAAACCACTGCATGTAGCTTCTGATGCAGTTTATTTTAAAGCTACGTTGTGGTCAAGACTAAGCCTGCCTGATCTGAAGTCAACTGACTTTTAGCTAGATAAATTAAGTGGTAGAGATTCTCAAGAATTGTACAGTAAATTCTACTTAAGGAGAAAGCAGCAGGCAAATCTGGCTTATTTTTCATTGTCCCACTTCTTTGGAATGATGAGTAAAGAAACTTGGACATTCTTACCAACTGATCAAAGAACAGTAGAGCTATGCTGGGTATTACAGCTCACGAGACAACATATGTCTGTGTCTGTGTACAGCAACGTGTGTCTATACAATTTCCATTCCATTCACTCACTTAAAACTGAGATGAGAAGGAATTTCTCCTCTCAGAGTCATGAATCTGTGCAATTCCTTACCATATTTAGCTGTCAAGGTGGGGTCATTAAGAATATTCATAATTAATTAGTAGGGGGATCAATGCTTATGGGGAATGGACAAGAAAATGGAGTTGAAGGTTATCAGACAGCCATAATCTTATTGAATGCTGCAGTAAACTCGACTGGCTTAATGGCCTAATTCTACTTATTATGGTCAGCCTTTTATCAACGGTACAGAAGGATAATTGCCTCTGGCAAGAGACATTTTTCCTCCCATTTCCAATGTGACATTATCTCAATTGGCAGCACTTTTGTCTCTGGGTCAGAAGGGGCTGCACCAGGGCTTGAGCTTGAAATATAGGCTGGTATCCCTGTTATCTTTTGGCTAATGCAATAAACTGAGGTTCTCAATACCTAGTCAGATAGATAAAATTGCATTATTGATCTTTCCCTAGTGTCCTGTTCAAAGTCTCATCTGTCATCAAGGAAAAAATACTGACAACTTGGTCATTTATGGTACACTTCCCACATGCTACAAAAGTGGTTAACTTCATAAAACTCAAGCGAGTATGTTTAATGACATGAAGTACTATAAATTATTGCCTTTTTTTAATTTCTAATGCTATTTCTTCAAATTGATAATATTGTGAGAAAATACCAAGAAATAGATGGTATTGTCGGATACTATAAACTGCAAGAGTTACCCAGTTTGTCACTTGAACCACAAAAACGGAAAAACAACCATAATTTGTTCCTATCTATCTGAGGTATATATTTTCTTTTGGCTTATTTGAGTGTCATGTTAAGAGGTCTTAATGTTGTCTGGATTATCAAAACTTATAGGCTGCATGCTAATGTAAGACACCTCATAGTGTGTGTTACAGATGGAAGCTACCTGGATCACAGCGGATGGGAGGATTTTAAAGGAATGCACTACACTTCAATTGCTTACGGTGGCAAGAATAATTTTGTAGCCACGACACTGGACAAACAAAAAGTAAAATTACATCCCCGAATGTTTTCATGCTTTTGATGATTGAATGTCACCTGTTAGTTTTGGAGCATGCTAATTATGCCACCAGTTACCAAAGAAATATTGCCAGAGATTCACAAATCAACATCACCCTTGATTCCCCTGTGCTGTGGGATTTACTCACATTGTCCAGTGTGGTTTGACTGACGGAATAATCTTCAATTCCTAATACATCAACTACTTGCTCCATCTTACTGAAAACCTGAGCCAGTGAGATGTTTTCTGACTTCAGTTGGTACTGCACTTTGGTATGGTGTCTCTCCTAGAACAAAAGCGAGACTGTGTCAGATGACAGCAAAGTATGCAGATGCTGGAGATCTAGAATAAAAACAAATTCTGGCAGAAGGTCTGCAAGTCTGGCGGCATCTGTGGCGAGAGTAACTGTTTTGAATCCGATATGGCACACACTCAGAATTTCTGAGATCGGCAAAACAATTGGAATGAATCCACTGTTGCATTGACAACTGTACAAAACCCTCACATTGAAGCTAACCCCAGCAATCACAGATAAACAGGTTCAGTGCCGCCATTACAGAATCACAGCATTGTGTACATGCAGCAGTCAGTCACTTATCCCATTATGTCTGCACCAGCTCTCTTAAGTATCTTAGAGACTAAGAGAACTGCCGATGCTGGAGTCAGAGATAACACAGTGTGGAGTTGGGGGAACACAGCAGGCCAGGCAGCATCAGAGGAGCAGGAAAGCTGACGTTTCGGGTTGGGACCCTTCTG